TATAAAAATATGAATAATAAAATGGCAACAACTACATATCTATCAACAATTACTTTTTTTTTTTAATATATTTTATTGATTTTTTACAGAGAGGAAGGGAGAGGGATAGAGAGTTAGAAACATCGATCAGCTGCCTCCTGCACACTCCCTACCGGGGATGCACCCGCAACCAAGGTACATGCCCTTGCCTGGAATTGAACCTGGGACCCTTCATTCCGCAGACCAATGCTCTATCCACTGAGCCAAACCGGTTAGGGCTATCAACAATTACTTTAAATGTAAATGGATTAAATGCTCCAATCAAAAGAAATCATATGGCTGAAAGGAGACCAAAACAAGACCCTTATATGCTATCTATAAGAGACTCACTTCAGATTGAAATACATATGCAGACTGAAAGTAAAGGGATGGAAAAAGGTAGTTCATGAAAATGGAAATGAAAAAAAAAAAGGCTGGGCTAGCAATACTTATACCAGACAAAATATATTTTATTTTTTTTAATCCTCACCTGAGGATATTTTTTCATTGATTTTTAGAGAGAGTAGAAGGCAGGGGGAGAGATACTGAGAGAGGAACATTGATGTAACAGACATATCAATTGGTTGCCTCCTGCAAGAGGCCCTGGTGGCCGGGATGGAGCCTACAACCAAGGTACGTGCCCTTGAGTGGAACTGAACCCAGGACCTTTTAGTCTGCAGGCCGACTGGCACTCTATCCACTGAGCCAAACTGGGGAGGGCCCAGACAAAATATATTTTAAAACAAAGGCTACAATAAGAGATAAAGATGGACCCAGCAATTCCTCTTCTGGGTATTTATCAGAAGAAACCCAAAACATTAAATTGAAAAGACAGAGTGTGGGGGCAAAAGAAGGTTTACAGTTGTGAGTAGGTGAAACAAAGTTTATTCTTGCATTACTATTTATTAACTACTAGAGGCCCAGTGCACAAAATTCTTGCACTGGGGAGGAGGGGTCCCTCAGCCCAGCCTGTGCCCTCTCGCAGTCCTGGACCCCTCACTCCTTTCCACCCGCCTGCTCGCTGCTCCTTAGCACTGCCGCAGAGGCAGGAGAGGCTCCCACCACCCCCACTGCACTCGCCAGCCATGAGCCTGGCTTCTGGCTGAGCAGCACTCCCCCTGTGGAAGTGCACTGACCACCAGGGAGCAGCCTCTGCATTGAGCATCTGCCTCCTGGTGGTCAGTGCACAGCATAGCCACCAGTCGTTTTGGTCGTTCGGCCATAATGGTTGCTTAGGCTTTTATTATATAGATTGTATTATTTTCCACATGAACAACTGTAAATCTACTCCTGCCCAACCCTGTATACATGCATATGTTCACTACAGCATTATTTATAAGATATAGAAGCAACCTAAGTGTCCATCAATATATGAATGAGGATGTGGTAAATATGTACAATGGAAAATGACTCAGCTATAAAAAAAGAATGGAATCTTGCCATCTGCAATAGCATGGATGGGCCTAGAGCAGCCATGGGCAAACTACGGCCCGCAGGCCAGATCCGGCCCGTTTGAAATGAATAAAACTAAAAAAAAAAAAGACGTACCCTTTTATGTAATGATGTTTACTTTGAATTTATATTAGTTCACACAAACACTCCATCCATGCTTTTGTTCCGGCCCTCCGTTCCAGTTTAAGAACCCATTGTGGCCCTCGAGTCAAAAAGTTTGCCCACCCCTGGCCTAGAGGGTATTGTGCTGAGTGAAATAAGACAGAGAAAGACAAATGCCATATGATGTCACTTATATGTGGAATCTAAAAAACACAATAAATGGCCAAGGCCGGTTTGGCTCAGAGGATAGAGCATCGGCTTGCGGACTGAAAGGTCCCAGGTTCGATTCCGGTCAAGGGCATGTACCTGGGTTGCGGGCACATCCCCAGTGGGGGATGTGCAGGAGGCAGCTGATCGATGTTTCTCTCTCATCGATGTTTCTGGCTCTCTGTCTCTCTCCCTTCCTCTCTGTAAAAAATCAATAAAATATATTTAAAAAAAATAATAATAAAAAAAAATAAAAAAATAAAAAAATAAAAAACACAATAAATGAACAAGCAGAACAGAAACAGACTCATAGATACAAAGAACATTTTCATAGTTGCCAGATGAGAGGGGAAGGGATTATGGGTGATAAGGTGAAGGGATTAAGAACAAATTGGTAGTCCTGGGACTGTAAATTACAGATGAGGAATATCTATATATATAAAAGCCTAAGTGACCGAACAACCGGTCGCTACGATGCGCACTGACCACCAGGGGGAAGATGCTCAACACAGGGGCTGCCCCATGGTGGTCAGTGCGCTCCCACAGTGGGAGTGCCGCTCAGCTGACCAACCCATCCCAATGGCCACCAGTCCAACAGCAGCCACTCACTCCCTCAGTAGGCCTGCAGGTCCAATCTCTGGAGAACCGGCCAGGCACTGATGGACCGGCGCTGCCGGCAATATCCTGACAGGGCCACTGGCCTCCTGGAAGTCAGCCTCGGACATCACAGCCACTCCCCCTCCCTAGACAATCCGCAAGGAAGAAACAATATAAAAGCAGCCACCAGGTGGCTCCTGACAACTGGCCGAACGTCAGTGGGACAGATCCAGATCCTGGGCGGCAAGGGTGTCCCACTGCCTGCCCAGAGGGCTAATCGTATCCTGGCCTCCTGCCACCCCTTTGGGATGGGCACCAGATGCAAGGCTCATGGTTGGCAAGTGCTGCTGCGGCGGCGGGAGCATCTCCCGATCAGGACTGACTGGGTGTGAGCCCCTGGCAGGCACAGAGGGGCTGGGGTGAGTGGGAGTGGCAGGTAGCACTGAACTGCTAGTTTCAGCCCAATCCCCACAGGCCACGTCAAGGGACCCCACCCGTGAACGAATTCGTGTACCAGGCCTCTAATAGTCAATAATATAACAGTTATGTATGGTATTCAGATTAGCACTAGATTTAATGGGGTGATCACTTCTTATGTAAATGTCTAATCACTGGTAGTACATCTGAAACTAATATAATATTGAATGTCCACTCTAATTGAAAAATAAAGAAATATTTTAAAATATTCATGTTAATAAACATTCTTCAGAAACTCAGGGAGTTTTCTAATTTTTTAACAAACTGATTGAACTTCTTTGACTACAGGGCCTGCTGGAGAAAGGCAACGAAAGTGCCTTTTAAAAAAGTAAAAATGGCCCTGACTGGTTTGGCTCAATGGATAGAGCGTCAACCTGTGGACTGAAGGGTCCCCGGGTTCGATTCCAGTCAAGGGCACATGCCCAGTTGCAGGCTTGATTTCCAGTAAGGGGGCCTGCAGGAGGCAGCCGATTGGTGATTCTCTCTGATCACTGATGTTCCTATCTCTCTCTCCCTTATCAATGAAATCAATAAAAAATGTATTTTTTTATAAAAAGTAAAAATGTATTCTTTAGCCAGTGTAATTGGGTCTTCTTGTTTACAAAATTATCTTCTAAAACATGCTTTGAAATTTTTCTGATTTTGAAAAATGGAGTCTCATTTGATGCCTCTAAAACTGGAGATTTAGATTTCAAATGGCTCCAAAGAACTGAAATCTATGGCAAGGATTTTTTAGCATATGTGCAATGGCCAAAACCAGGCATAGGTGACCTTTTTGTAGGCACTCAAGGGCTTTTGGAATGGAAGATCTTGTGTTTAGGAATGTAGGAAAAAACAACACACAAACAAGTGGAAATTGGCAGTGTTTTGTAAAGAAGGGGATATGATGAATAAAACTGGCAATACAGGGTTTAAATAAAGTGACAGGAGTCTCAGCACATTTTGGAAATTCCTATCTTGAATCGTGTATGTGGGTATAAATATGAAGCTAAGTCTCTGGTTTTCACTCCTTTCCAGTCTAAAATCTTACTATCAGATGTCCAAGTTCATTGTAATTTGGCATCTTATCTAAAATGACCTCCCCAAATGTGTAATAATAATAATATCCAAACCCACTGATTGACTCTAACATCACATAGAGAATTCCAGGTAGAAGTAAGGGTTGAAAGTCTAAAATTGGGAGTCATTAACAAACAGTTATTTCAAGTCATGAATCTGAATGAAAATAAACACGGGAATCAGTGTTTAGGCATAGTATGATTTGGCTTACCTCCCAAACAAGCAATACTCTATTTTCTTGTGCCTTCACCAGGCTTTACTTTGCGTAAAATGATCATCCCACTGTTCAATAACTAGACCTAATTATAACATTTCCTCGATTCTGACTTGTGTTTTTTATTTTTGTACGAGAACATTTATTGGGTAAATTAGAGGTAGAAAACGTAATTCCTCAAAGAATTGGGCTTAGGAAACAAGTTATGGAAGTAAAGGAAGAGTCCTTGGAGCTTGGGAGTGAGGAAGCTAACGGTAAGCGAGGAAGGGAGGAGGAGGGTGCGGTGGAAAGGAAGGGAAAGGCACCACGTGCTCCGGGGACGGAGAGCGCTAACATGTGCTTTATAATATTAGTTACTAGTTTTGTTAACAGTTTAAAATCAAAGTCTTTTTCCCTTTTCTCTCCCCTCCCATATTACAACTGAAAAAATAAATTCACTAACTACAGGTGATTTTACTTGCAGGGTGAAACTTTCAGTTCTGCAGCCTAAAACTTCCCTTATAAAGTGCTTTCTTGGGTAGCACACTACTGGTTGTCACAAGTTTGTGGGTGTAATGGGGGAGTGGGGGTGAAGGCTACCTGCCTTCTCTTTCTTCTTCAGAAAAAGGGTTAGGCACGAGGAGCCTCTAGCGGCTTGTCTGAAGTCTGCAGCGCAATCACAAACAACCCAGGGCCTGCACTTAATCTTCGTGCACCTGATCCCAACTGGGCTCTCAACCTGCCAAGATCTGAGATGTGCCCTCTTCCACCTGACCCGTAGCAGAGTTAGAGACCCCGCCATGAGTGGCTCTGGCCTCACCCTAAGTCCCCAAAGTCAGTCCCCAGAGCATTATCCTTGCCCAACCGCCTGCCTTCTCTGGCTCTGATCGCTTACGGGAAGTTCGCATCCACTCGAGCAGCGCTGGGCGGTCGGCCGGAGCCACGGTATGAAGCAGTTGCAGTATTGCTTGCCGCGCGGCGCTTAATTCCATGTTGCAGCAGAAAGCAGCGCAGGGAAGGTGCGCACCGCGCACGCGCAAGCGGAGACCGGCAGCGACAACTGACCCGCCTCCCCAGGCTGCGGACGCCCTAAGCCCCGCCCCCTCCTCGGAGTCTCTAGAGCGCGAGGAATTCCTACACTTCAGCGCGACCTCAGCTCTCACCATTCCCCTTAAATAGCATTGCTCAGCTTAGTCACTTTTCCTTAAGGCGGCTCCTCGAGGCCGGACTTCTTTCCTGAGGTCGCCTCCTATTTTAACAACTTTGCTGCCGCCGTTGTTGAGCGATAGAAAACGAAAGTCTAAAGTCAGCGGGAGGAAAGGAACATCTCAATATACCCCTTCCACGCAGTGAAGGAACGCGGCGGGTGCCCCGGAAGCGGAAGTGCATCCTCGTCTTGAAAGGCTGGACTACACCGAGTGGTGACGTTTCCTCATTGGGCGGAAGGTTCGGTGGCAGTCGTCGGACTTCCAGCTGGTGGGAGTTGGCGTCGCAGTGCTGGGCTCTGGGGCTCGCGTTTTGTAGTTTGGAAAGTCGGTCTGTGGCGTCGTCCCTACCGGTCTGATCCCGGGTTTCTTCTGATCAATCCCACGGCGTGGGGCCTCGCGAAGGAATCCCCGGCCCCTTTGGGCCACGGCCGTAGAGGTGCCTTCAGAGGTAAGTGTCTGTTTTTTCCCGCCCCAGACTGGCAGCTGGCGGCAGCCCCGATCCCGCTTAGGGGGCGAGAGACTCCGGAGAGAGTCCACTTGCCTGGCCACCTGCTGTCATCACCGGTGCCGAGGTGCTTTGGCCCCTTTTCACCTCGTTCCGCCCATCAGAAGTTTTATTAAGAGATAAGCTGTGACCCTTTTCAGTTGACTTCGGATCTACTCGAGCCAAATTACCTGTGTAGGCAATTGCAGGCCTGACTCTCTGATTTGCTCTCCTGATCAAGAATTTAGTTATGACTGCTTCCCCGACAGTCTTTTGACGTGTCCCAAATTTTATATTTTCATGTTCGCTGTGCGTAACACATTGTCCTGCATGTAGCAGGCGTTCAGTAAGTGAGTAAGGAATATCAGTTCAATGTCAGCGATGACTTCCGATGTGCTGATGGCTCTCCGTAGCATTTAACACTATTACCCATCCGTTTCTTGACACTGTGTCTCCTGTTGGCTTTCTTGATGCTATTCTCACCCACTTTTTTTCATATGCTTAATTCAACAAAACATTTACCCGTTGTTAGCTATAGGGATACAGAAATGAATGACACAAACCCTAGCATTGAAGAGCTAGCAGTACAACAATAAAAGAGAAGCATGTAAATGTATCCTATATCCAGATGAGCAATGAGGAAGTCTGGAAAGATGTGAGCCAGGAGAGCTGTGGGAATACAGATGAGAGGTGCAGTGATTTGTGATCCTGACTGAGCAGATCCCATCAAGCCTCAGTCTCCTCATTACCTAATGAGTTTATTAAGAGGCTGTTGATAGTGGAGGAGGTTATACATATGTGGGGACAAGGAGTTATATGGAAGCTCTTTGTACTTTCTGCTCAGTTTTGCTGCGAACCTAAAACTGCTCTAAAAGCAAAGTCTGTTGATTAAAATTTTAAAAAGAGAGAAAGGAGGATTGAAAGATTAGGTAACAGGTTTGGTGCAATGCCTACAACAGTCTGGCAGTGGTGGTCCTGAAGGGGAGGGGAAATATTTCCCTGAAATCTCTTTCCCTTGATTTTTTGATGCGGACAGTTAGTATTTTTTCTGACTTAATGTAGTACTGTGCAGAAGCATCGTCAAGCCCTCCTTCCGACAGATTACTTCTCTAACTCCAGCTCTCTGGAAATTCTGGACCTGCCACTAAGTAAAATAACCATAAATAGTAGCTTTTTTATTTTTTTAAATTGATGCCTTTATATGTGCTTTTGGGAAATGGAATTAGTAAAAGCTTCTATCCCTTTGATTATTCTCAGTCCCAATTGACTCTCTCCTTTTAGTTGGCCCTTGACTATGGCTACAAACCAAACAGTCTTCCACAAATTCTCCTGGAGAGTCCTCATCTATATCCATGGCGTCCGTGGCATTTTTCTTGTATGCCAACCATTTCCAAATATTTTCTCTAGTTTCTATCTCTGAGTGATATAGTTCTTTAGTTCTGCAAATGTTCTGGGTCCAAACCCAAATTCCTTACCTCCACCTTCCTCCCCCTACCCCCTTTTTTTTTTTTTTTTTTTAAATATATTTTTTATTGATTTTTTACAGAGAGGAAGAGAGAGAGATAGAGAGTTAGAAACATCGATGAGAGAGAAACATCGATCAGCTGCCTCCTGCACATCTCCCACTGGGGATATGCCCGCAACCCAGGTACATGCCCTTGACCGGAATTGAACCCGGGACCTCTCAGTCCGCAGGCCGACGCTCTATCCACTGAGCCAAACCGGTTTCGGCCCCCCACCCCTTTTTTAAAAATCATTACCTATATCTTAGATACAAAGGTGTATAAAAGCAGTGATCCCTAGTGAGTTTTTGACCCTTTGTTTCTAGTTGAATTTTGTATGTTATTTGTATGTTCAGTTAAAAAAGGATAATAAAGTCAACATCTATATTTAATATCCAACTTAAGTAGTAAAACATTACAAATAACCTTTAATCTCCTTGAACCTTTTTTCTAGTAACTCTAACTTTCAAAACAGCTTCTTTTTTTTCTTTTTCCTTCCATATATTGGTTAATGGCATCACTAACCATCTGGGGGTTTTTTTGTTTTTTTTTAAAATATATTTTATTGATTTTTTACAGAGAGGAAGGGAGAGAGATAGAGAGTTAGAAACAACGATGAGAGAGAAACATCGATCAGCTGCCTCCTGCACATCTCCCACTAGGGATATGCCCGCAACCCAGGTACATGCCCTTGACCGGAATCGAACCTGGGATCCTTCAGTCCGCAGGCCGACGCTCTATCCACTGAGCCAAACCGGTTTCGGCGCCATCTGGTTTTTTAAACTGGAGACCTTACAATCATTTTTTCCTTTTGTTTCTTCTTCATTCTCCACAACTACTTGGTTATTAGGTCCTGTAGATTCTGCTTTATGAGTTGGGTCTTGACTCCAGCCCCTTCACTCCATTTTACTTTCTGCTTCCTTAGTTCAAGTATGTACTCTCCTTGCTCTCAAGTTTTTCTCACTCTAATGTGTTTGCTACATTGTTTATAATTTTTAAAACAGAACCGATTTTTCATTCTCTTGTTTCCTTTGAGGAGTATTGATTCATACAGTGATTAACCTTGGCTGCACATCAGGATAGCCAGTGAAGTTTTTCAAAATATAGATGCCTTTTCTTGCTCTTCTAATAAAAGATTTAGATGAGACTACTTTCTAGAAACCTTCTGAAGTTACTGTCCTTGGAGATTATGATAGAGTATTTAATTTTTAGCTGGTATTACCTAAATGTTATTGAAATAACCCATTGCCTATCCCTCTTCCTCCATATGTTCTTTTCAGCTCCAAGGCAAACTATTTCCAAGGAACTCCTTTAACTTTCCTTGCTTTAATTTTTTTTTGTTGTTGCTAACAGTTTACATAAAGATTGTTTTAATGATTGACCTGACAGCCAAAAGTATCTTAAAGAAATGATTGCCAGTATTTTTGAGTTATTACCCTTTTTTTGCTAATTGAATTTTTGATATACCTTTTCTGCTATTAAAGTGTTGCAGTGATTTTATTTTTAATATTAAAACGGGTTTTAAAATTTGAAAATTTTAATGAAGAAAGAATTTTCTGAGACTTTTTGACATAAAGGAATATAACTTTTGCTGCAAAATTAAGACCATTCCTCATTTCTATTTCCCTTTTCACTCTCCCCAAGTCATCACACCAGTGAAGTCATTGGTGGTGTGATATATACTAGTAATTTATCTTTTGAAGTTAACAGAAGAGTCTTATCTGTTAAGTTGATGTAATTTGTTGACTTGGAGTTAGAACTTTTCTCCTGCTGAAACAATTCCTCAAGGTGTTTAATAAATGAATAACTAAATGAATACAAGTGGCAACTCCATCAGAACCCCTAATATAATATAATATCGTTCTGTTCTCTCAAGAAGCACTTTGAAAAATAATTAATTTGCCCTAGCTGGTTTGGCTTAGTGGATAGATAAACTGTGGACTGGAGGGTCACAGGTTCGATTCTGGTCAAGGGCACATGCCCAGGTTGCAGGCTCAATCCCCAGTAGAGGGCATGCAGGAGGCAGCCAATCAATGATTCTCTCTCATCATTGTTGTTTCTATCTCTCTCTCCTCCCGTCCTCTCTAAAATTAATTAAAAATATATTTTTTAAAAAAGAAAAATAATTATTTTTTTCCTTGATGTAAAAATAATACCTAGTCATTGCCAAAAATTTGAAAATTACAAAAAGATATAAATAAAAAAATAAAATTACTAGTATGTACCATTCAGAGATGACACATTCCATTTTCTAACAGTTTTACTGAAATAAAATATATTTATAAAATTTATAAAACTTTAGTTTACCTAAAGTGTACAATTCAGTGGTTTTTATTTATTTACAGAGTTGTACAACCATCACCACAATCAATTTTAGAACATTTTTATCACTCCATGCAGAAACCCCATCACCATTAATAGTCACTCCTCATTCCCTCCATACTCCCAAGCCTAAGCAACTATTAATCCACTCTCTGTCTCTTTAGATTTGCTCCTTTGGACATTTCATATAAATGGAATCATATAAAATGTGCTTTTATTTGTCACTGTTGTTTTTTCATTTAGTATAATGTTTTCAAGATTCATCTATTGTAGCATGTATCAGTACTTCATTTCTTTTATTATCAAACTAGAGACCCGGTGTATGAAATTCATGAATGGGGGGGCGGGGTGGAGGAGGGGGTCGCTAAGCCCCGCCTGCATCCTCTCGAAATCCAGGACCCCTTGGGGGATGTTGGGCCTAAACCGGCAGTCAGACATCCCTCTCGCAATCCAGGACGCTGCACGCACCAGTGACCATACTTTTCATACAGGTGAAAGGCATCATGCTGTTGTATGGGCAGGTACATTTTTTTGCCCTGATTATAAAAAAAAGTACATAACATGATCCTTCTCAGGCAGTAGTACCATTTTCCCCATCTTATGGATGGAAAAACTGAAACAGAGAGAAGTTAAGTAATTGGCTTTGTCACATAGTTACAAGTGTCAGAATCAGGGCTGACCACAAAATGTGCAAGCCAGAGTCCATTCATGTCATCACTGCATCATCCTATTTTTTCAGTGTTAGAGTATCCTTGCCAGGTTTTAATTTTTAAATCTAAGAGACTTTTCCCAAAATATAGGGTAGGGTCCCT